TATTTCAGGCGAGTTTTCGGTGATGGAAGATCAAGGTTCAGACAGAAAAGAAGAACTTCATAGGGAAATCGAATGAAGTCGTGGCTAAGTTTGATGACACCTGCACTCGCACGATCTCCGACACCTCGGATTCCGACCACTCGCCCTCCCTTAGTACCGACCCGATCCCGCATTCCCGCTCACGTAGCCGTTGACCCACGCGGGAACCTTGGATCTAGGCATGTCGATGTACCTCTCTGGCGGGAACCGTGGTTCTTGAGTTCTTGACCCGCACGAATTCGAGTTCCTCCGCCGCGGAACCACGGTGGCGTCGCTCAAGAACTCCACTCACAGAGGCACGCGCCCGCCGGAAAGTGCGTCCAGGATCCTCTGGGACAAATTGGTCAAGGATCCAGCTGATTTTCCGGTGACCGAGCGTTGCTTGGAGAGATCATCCAGCTGGACGGTTTGACAAGTCACCTAAGAAACCACTTCAAAAGGAGGTCAAACTTCTAAAATTTTCATGTTTTGGTTTTACTTGATAATTTAAGGATGTTTGGATTCTTGAAAGTAATAAGTTTCGGTTGCACTTGATACAGGGTGAGGAACTTGATTATTGAGGTGTACTTCATCGTGATGACTCGGTTTTGATGTCGGTTTCTCTAGATCAATTGAAGGTCCCCTGCTATTCTTTCCTCAATGCCTGTGTTTATATCATATATTTTAATAAAAAGCAGTTTTAGTGCCCCCTTTCCGTGATATAAATTTGAATTATAACTTTTTTTTGTCCTACAGGGCCCCTGAACTTATATACAAGTCTCTACCTGCAAAATTATCGTTGGAATGACATCTAAGGTAGGCTTGTATGTTCCTCTTCGTATGAATATGATCCTTTATTTTCTCGATTTTTTTGGAATTTTACAAGAGGAATTACAATACTAATGCACGCTCTAGCAACCGTTGGATCGATCTTGTAGCTTCCGCCAGAAAATGATAAAGATGTTGTACACTTTTTCGTGTCCTTTTAATTTATATATTTGTTCATTTTTTCTGTCAAATTTTTTTTATCAAGTCGTGTATTATTACTAGAGATTAGCTCGCAAACGGCTGATAGACTCGGCATGGGTGTTATATCTCCTTTATCAAAGCAGCTCACAATGCCATTGCCGAATGCCATCGTTTTGGTGGCTCTAAACGAGCTCTCGAACTGTGCTCACAAGCTTCTTCATTAAGGTATTTGCACATTCATGCACACACAAGATCTCATTCTAATAATACAATCATCCACGTTTCTAAAAAGTAAAAAAATGTGTGTGGGATTTGTGCTAAGATAGTGAGGTTTATTCAGGTACACAGATGGTAGTCTATGTGCGCGTCGGTAAACCTCACAAGGAGCTGAAAGTTCTGAAGACCAGCGATGCAATTATGATTCTTCACGAGGTGCCGTACACAAAAGAGAATGTTAGCAGAATCCATACCGCAAGAAGGTATTTTCTTTTCAATCTTAATCCTTTTGTATTAGATCTTTCTTTTTTTCTTATTTATTTTTTTGTCGGGATGTTTGAGACTAAGGATTCGGTGGTTGCAGGCTGTTTTCGTTTGGATAATGCCTTGGATTTTCCGGCATTTAAATTTAGACTAGAATTTGTTTGAACCAGCATTGTTGTTTATGTTACTTTTACAATTAAGGCAACAGATTTATTCCCATCCTTTTACTTATGGTCTGATAGTGTCTGTTGGAAATGTTTTGGATTGTTTGTAGTGGTTAGTTTTAGGTGAGAGCTTTTAAGAAAAAAATCCATGGATGATGAGTTCAAACTTATGGAAAAAACTAATCATTAAACTTTTTCCTGGATTTTGCAGGTAAAAAAAATGTCGAAAGCATAGTCAAGGATGTCTTGAAGTGTGCGTTAATCGAGTACCAGGTTGGTGCTTCGCTTTGTTTTATGTTTCTCTTTGATTTATGTTTCAGGGAGTTAGGTATATACATGACCTATTTTTATTCTTCATCTGTCTCAATGTGTTTCCTTGCTATGTCTTGATTGCTTCCTATGTGCAGTGTTGTTGTTAGAGAAGACAAGAAACTATTGATTGTTGTATTCCCTGATGGACAGGCATTTACTCTTAAGGTTCATAATAGATCAGATGTCATTTACGCAGTATTTTGCATAGTCAAGTGTTCTTTTAGGACATGGGGATAATGAGGATAATTTACCTGACATTTTTCTTAATTCTATGTATCAGTTATCTTTAACCTTGCAAACACTCACTTGAAATTCCGATCAATGGAAGACAAGCAAGAACTCTAGGATATATAAAAAACAATTTAGTTTCTGGTCTTGAATATATCCACTTCGTTGACAACTATAATGTTCCAGTTTGGGTATCTGGAAACCATAATGGTCCACAATTGGAAACTGATCATTTTCTTTTAACTGTAAATTTTTTTCCTGTCAGTTTACAGGTATTTATGTTGCCTAATGACCTTTCCAGTACACTACTAACTACTAATTCTTGCCTAGAATTTTTTACTAATGTGTTCTGTATTTGTTGAACTACTATTAGCTTGTCGTTGTCCTATCTTTAATATGATTACGTCTTTTCTTTTTTGCAATATTTTGGTGGGATTAACATTCAAGTGGAACTGACATATTAACTTTTACTGCTACATTATATTTTGGTTTGTACATTTGTGTCGTAAATTTATGCTGTTTCTAATGGTATTTGCATAGTAATGCATGAAAATGAAATATGCCCATGTTGGTTATTTTGCAGGAAAAAAGCTGTTGACGCATTATGGAATTTATCCTTTGATGACCGGAATCGAGAAGCAATTGCAGCAGCTGGTGGAGTTAAGGCTTTGGTATGTCATTCTATTATTAAATAATTTCTAGAGAGTTCTTGTTATACTTATTAGGCTTTATTTTTCTATTAAGTGGTTTCATCTAGGCAGCAACTACCATTAAAAAAATATTATGCCAGAAAAACATTGATCCTTGATTGAAAATTCGGTAAGCCATTTGATGCCTTTGTGCTTGCTAAGATTGGTTATGGTTAGTGCTACTGGTGGGTGCTGATTAATTACTTTATCTTTTATTGGAATATCTTGTTAATATGGAAATTTGAGTCGCTTATTTCAGTTTTTTACTTTTACCTCACGTTAATAACTTTGTGACTTTATCACATTGCATTTAAGAGCTGTTTTGGTTTCTAATGAGAATTTATCTCTATTATGTGACAAAATTACTGAACTTCAAGTCTATTTGCATTCATGTTATCAAGCTCTGCTGAGAGTAGGGATATTCTTCCAGCTTAGGCATCGGTAGATCAAAATGTTTTTCTTTCTTGCTTATTTTAAAACTTTGGACTCTTTATACTTTAAATCTGCCGACATCTTTATGGGTTTTTTACAGTCACTTTGTGCATCTCTTGGTAATCAAAGAAGCACATTTTAGTTACTGTGAAAAAATTATTATGTTTCCCCTTTCTATTACTGCAAAAACTTCAATTACATCTGCTTGGTCAAAGAAATTAAGCAGGATTCCTCGGTATATTGTTTAGAGATTTCTTCCATTGCATATTAGCTTAAATTGATACGTTTTTCAGTTTCAGAGTTTCTTTAATTACAATTTAAAAAAAAAAGTAAGAAAAAAAAATATATTGAGCAGTCTAATATTGCTTCGAGAGATCAAAAAGTCAAACATGCATAGACAACTAGCTAACATAAAGTGGTCGCTTCCCTCAATCAAGTATGTTGCACCCAAATCCATTGGGTCTGCTGTCATGTATTCCACAAAGCGGAGATATTTGTGTTTTTTTTTTTCTTTTTTTCATTGTCATGGGTTTTTGCGGCCTTTGCATACGTATTCTCCATTACTTAATTGCCTGCATTTTTTTGCTTGCGGTTCAGGTTCGTTTTCAGTGTCACAGCCATTTCAGGTTCCATGGGACAGGCAGGTCATTACCTTGATCATTTTTTTGGGAACTAGATTTTTATCTTTCTGGTGGTTAGTTATGCTTTGTATTCTACCTACATATGTCCTGCCTGTTTGTGCAAGAGACTACCTTTGGATACAATCCGCAGATTGTGATCGTTCAGGTTTTCTAAGGCTTTTTTCTATTATAGCGTTGTGTCAGTTTTATACTAACTCATTTAGGTTTGTTTTACATTGTCTTTACTGACATGTCATATGGTTGAAACACATGATACCAAGTTTGTGGCTTTTATGGTGAACCAAACACTTTTTTTGACCTTTTTTGTGACCGTTGGATATTTTATCATATTGTTGGACTCTTGCCTTTATGATGTATTCATATGAGGTAATTTCAGTCTACTTTTGGGAATGGTGGCAAATGTATATATGTGTACTCTTGGAGTCGGACAAGTATATGTATAAAGTTAGATACATTTTTCAAGCAACATTTGGGAAATATATGTATAATATAATATGTGCTATATTGTATTTATTTCAGTCGCAGCATCATTCAGGAGGGAGGGAGTATGTGCCTGCTGATTTATTTTAGGAGGGAGTATGTGCTTGCTTATTAGCAAACCATTAACCCGAAATGTCGATTTAAGTTGTCAATTGACATGTGCTTTGTTTGGACCAATGTATTCATGCATGTAAAGATTATGTATAAGGCTGGATACATTTTAAGCGGCAACATTTTGGGGTCGTCCAAAAAAATAATCATTATTTCACAATTATAGACTAAACTCGGTCCGGTTGTGTGTAACAATCTTTAAAAAATATATATAAATTCGACTGATCATTTCAAAAGATGATAAATTTTCACTATATTTTAGACTATATTTGAGTCGGCCGTGCGTGCACGGCCATAAGACAACTAGTCTCTTATATATATAAAAAGGAGCTACTTGTCTTCTTTAAGCGCCACGTGTCCAGCTTAATCCCAAAACGACGCGTTTTAATTTAGTTTCAAAACGACGTTGTTTTGATTTGAGTTAAAAACACAAAGAATGTCTTTCATCTGGTTAACTCTAAATTCTCACCCCGCAGTACGCCGAGCCACCCTACAACCGTGGGTCTCACCTAATTGTTCACTCTTCTCTTCCCCAGATTTTGGCCGCCATGCGCACGCTCTCGATCAGCACCTCCGTCCTTGGCTCCTGCAATAGGATATCCGACAAGTGGTAGGAGTTGATGGCCAGCCTCACCTTCTACCTCCTCGGCCCGCGCGCTCAAATATTTGTAGTGCTTCTTCCGCTTCTGCTCTGAGATAAGCGAGTGTCTCCTCGACGACAACGTCGGAGTGCTCGCCTCTGGCGATCGACCGATACTCTGTACGACACCTGCTCAAGGCGGCGAAGTCCGGCTCGCCTTGATCCGACACGGTGGATTAACCTCCTCCGCAAACCTAGCTTCTTCGATTGGAGTTTCTCATTTGCCGCCGCATCGGTTTCCAACCTAATTCGTGGCAACGTCTTTCCCGGCGACGGAATTGGGCCTGCCAGCCGAATCCGTCAAACAGATACGAAAAACGTGGTGAGTATTTTTTTTAACCTTTCGAATTTTGATGAGCGGGTTGAAGAATATGGAGTTGCCTTCTGCTGTAAATCTGCTGCATGTTGGAGTTATAGTGTTTGAGTTGTTATCAAGCTTCAATTTTTTGGTAGAGTAATGGGTTGTGCGTTACTTGATTGTTGAAGGAATGGATATCAATGAAAGATAGTGTATGTGTGTATTTTGTATGATAATAAAGGAGAATATTCCATCACATTTAGAGAATTTTTCTTCATTTTGTGCGTATATACAGTCGAGCACTCGATCTAGAGTTTTGTTCACTTTATTGCTGGTATAACTTCACAATAAGAGAAAAAAAGTTACAACTAATAATGACATCATCTAACTTTACACAAACACTGTCCTGTCTGGCTGAGCCCTGTGACTTGCTTAACACTAATGCGGACGCGGTTGAGAGAAAAAGTATAAGCATATTTACGCATTCAGGCATTGACAATATATAGAAAAATGAGTTTTTTACTGCTGTTACCAGTGATCAATTTCAAGATAGGCTATACTTGAGCTAGGTTATTACTGGATAAATGGTTTTGGCATGCGACTCATGGTATTTATCGTTCAGTTACTATGCATTGGGTATTTTGGTAGTCAAAGAGTGCATGATGATATTACATCAATGAATTGTGTCCTGAATGTATGATGTGATTTTATGGCATTGCCGGTGAGACAATTCAATACATTTTGCTATAGTTAAAGCAGGTTTCAAAATATATTGAGTTAGTTAACCGAAGTGATGATTGATTAGTATAGCTAGGGAATAAAAATGTGTTCTCTATAGTAAATATTGTAGCATGCAATAGTAAAGATGATTACACAGAACAAACTTTTCTGGTTACACTTTACCTTTTATGAAGTTACATAACAATTGGTGGAAATCCAGGTATTTAAAGTTGCAGATGTGCCAATTGAATAGGAAGAACATTCTCAAAGCCAACTCACTCTGAAACGAAGATAGTTGCTCTCTCCTACACGGCGCCGTGTCGTCCTACCAACCCGAGGTCCAGTCCATCAGATACCTTCTTTGTGCAATTGAATTTCAACCGTTTGAGCTTTCAGTTTCTTTCATTTGTGAAAATCTATGCTTCTTTGTGCTATGGTGAAGTCAATTTTGTAGTGTTTTCAACTTAAAACCTTACGTCAATCGGCATGTTTCTTTTTGCTTTTATATTGTGGCTCTGTTTGATGGCATGGTGATAGTATTGGAGTTTAAGAAGTCTTGATCTTAGGTAATCAATTTTGACTCTCTTTTGTCTGTTTAATTGAATATACAATACTTTTTCAGCTCTTGGTGCGGCCTCATCTCCTTTGGAGTCATTGGAAGGCCACTTGCTGGTCATGGAGTCACAACTTTGGCAATTTCGGGCTTTATAAATAGTCAAACTTCTTTACCACCATTATTAGTTTATGAGATTTGTTTACGTTAGTTGGATCAAATAAAATAGTAGTACCATGACTATATTGTTCTGTTGCACTATTTCTGTTTTCAATCAATCATCTGACCCACATTTTTAAGTCACCATATTATGGTTTTCTTCTACATCATACATGGACCATTAACTCAAAATGGTACAAACTTCATTTGAAGCTTGCGGTTTTGGGAGGATCTTTTTTTGGGAACATACCTCTCTGAGAAGGTACTGTTCTATTGGTTATAATCTTTGGTGATGCATGCAAAAAGAAAAATTGTGTGTGCGCGTTTGTTTGCCTGTTTCTTGTTTTTTTACAGTTTTTTAATTGAATTAGGATCAATGCTGCCATTGGGCGAGGGTATCATAGTTTGTCGGGTTCTCACAAGCGACTACACATCCCAATTTGTCCGACGATACCGGTGTTGCTTATAGGTTTGTCAATGTTGTTTCTTGCGTGGATTTTATATATGTGATGATGGATGAATTATTTTGCTTAAGAGAAGCCTATTGTCTGAAAGTGATAACTATTGTCGTGTGTGTGGTATCATTGTTGTTCTATAGAATTTTTTAGATTTTAGCTTTTATGTTTCAAATGATTTTTGGGTTTTGCATTTATACTTATTGGTTTTGATTCCAAAGATGTGTTCAGAAAGTAGGGTTGTTTCAAATTTGACTGTTTTGGTTTAGCCCACTGCTAGAAGAGTGAGTTAGAAGGATGACTCATTATTGGAGTTCAATTGAAAAAAGGTTGGCAAAAGTTAAGTTATTTAACTCCAACTTTCCGACTATCACAGTTGTTGATTTTAGGTAATTTGTTCTTATTAAATGCCTCATGTTAACATTGTTGCACTTAATATCTATCATTATATTAATAGATTAACCATTTAACATTTTTAACAAGTTTTTCCCGTCAAATACATTTAATGTCCCCTAAAAATAGAGCAGCATTAAATGTTGCCCTTAAATCATGGCAGTTGTTAATTTAGTTTGGAGAAAATCGTGGCAACTAAAACAAACAACATTAATTATGGCTGATTTAATGTTTAAATGGTAAACAAATATTACTTTTTTATAATTGATTTAAATTTACGTCTGTTTAAAAGTAAAAAGTAATTTTGTAATTTCAACAAATTTGTACTCTTTAATTTACGACTGATTTAAAATTAAGAATTTACTTTTGTATTTTCACAAAAAAACGTATAAAGAAGTATGGCTGGAATAATAATAAAAATTAATTTGTTAAACCATATTTTGCACTCATAGATACGAATTCTCATCAAATTCAAGATTTAAAATTGTGAAGAATGTATATAGATGTGCACTGATTGAAGATATATGATTCCTTAAATTAAGGAATTTTTTCCGGTAAAAAAAAATATAAACTTTAAATATAGATTTTATTAGTAGTGTATACCAAAGAATATTGTTACATTTAAAATTCCTATGAGCTGAGCACACCCGAGCTCAATCTCCTTTTCTTGGTTTGCTCGGGCCATCATCCAATCGAGGATGAGGTTGAGCTTGGCATTGTACTCTGAGGAGTCGTCCTGGAGCTCATTTAGATGCTCGGGCATGGATGTGGGTCAACAACCTCGAGCTTGTGGGCCTGGGACTCGATCGAGTCGATGCACCTCGCAAGACTTTCCACTTGCTCGCTCAATCGGGCACATCTGAGCTCAATCTCCTCCTCTTGTTTCGCTCGGGCCATCAATCGATCTAAGATGAGATCGAGTTTGGCATTGTAGGCGGCCTCTTCTTCTCGAGCTGATTTGGACTCTATGAAATTAAGAATCTGGTCGAGCTTCTCGCTAAACTCGTGGGACTCATAAGTTTGCTCAACCGGAAAATCGTCCCAGCATTGCTCGGAAGAATACGGGTAAGGTTGGGTGTGGTACCCGGGGAAACATCCCAGCTCGTCGTTCCAAGATGGGTAATGCAGGGAGGAGTACCCGTGATTGAAATTCATTGTCCCTGCATACCAGAACCAAACAACCACGCTGTTGCTGTCCTGAATCAGCAACTTAAAATTTAACACAGTTGATGTTTGAAAAATAAGGATAACTATTTGATTAGATATTATTGATGGTGTTCACAAGAGTACAGAAGTCGGTTTTAAGCTGAAAACCGAGGTTGTCTTAAGTTCGTGTACAATGTGATCAAAAGATCCTCGTACTATCATAAATTCTGCTATTTATAGTACGGTGGCTTTTGTCTTCTTCCTCGAAATGGATAGAGATGCATTTAATATTGAGCTGCTTTGTTTTGAGGCGGCGGGAAACATCAATGATTGCCTTTTTGTTTTGTTGGTCCAATCAGATGCTTCTAATGATTACTTTCTGTTGGAATGCTCAAACTTTATGGCAGTCGGTTGATTTGGAGTCGGTTTACTTACGTTGGTTTCGGATGTCGGTTTTGATCCTTTTTTGAAAGTCTGTCGGAAGTTGGATCTTTCGGAAATCGGCAATTCTTAAGAAGTCGGTAATTTGCTATAATATATTCCGACTTTTAGTACTTCTGATTCTGATTATTGGATTTGATATCAACAGTGAGGCCCCCGACATCAGTAAGTATTTGAAGCTTTTTAAATGATTGCTGATGTCGTCTGTTGTTTCACCTTATTCCGACTTGCTTTGCGTTGTTACCGACATGAGAATACTTTGTTTCTTTCGACACTTTACGGTATTTGGTCTGACATGGCGGCTCTTTAAAAGACGTGTCTGCATTAAATGGGCCCAACGGATACAATTTTGTAACGACATGGCGTTTCGGGATGTGGCCACGTGGTATAATAATTACTGTAACGTTATGTCCCTTGAAGATACGTCCGTTACACGCGCCGTTTCCGGATGCTTCTAACGGTCATAAATCAAAACCTATAAATTGATGTCGGTTTTGGGGCGCAAAAGATTTCTGTACCTTTAATTTCTTCGATTTTTCTTGCGTTCTTTCAGCAATTTTCTCCTTACATATTTTCTCTGTGCACTCGTTTTTTCCTGTGATCTTCGCATCAATCCAAAGTTCTTCGAAAGTTTCGGTAAGAGTTTGCCCTAGTTTTTCTCATTTTTTGTTCTGCTTCGAATTATTCCTGTTTCTTGTATCGATTTCGGGGAAAGATGTCTGCGCAATCTGAGAATAGCAGTAGCCGAACGATTTCGGATATTCCGATCCTTACCGATGAGGATTTGGAATTGCCTCTGGAGTATTATCGGTGGGATCCTCTTTTGGTAAAGAGTCTCAATCTCAATAGGGATATCATTGATGAGGACAGGCGAGTCGAAGAGGACGCTATGTCACTTCCGGATTATTGGAGGCGTCCTGCTCGTCGGTGGCCAGAGCCGATTGACGAGTATAGAGGAGAGCCGAGTATTCTTACTGACGCCGACATCGTCATGCTTCGTGGGGAAGTTTATATCCCGTCTTCGGTAAAACTGTTTGCCCCTTATCCAGGTGAAAGAATAACTTGTCCTCCTCCGGGTTGTGTTGGCGTTTTTGCCGACTCATTGAGGTCTGGCTTGAGATTTCCGCTTCCTGCTCTGATCACGGATTATTTGAGGAATTGGGGGATCAGTTTGTGTCAAGTAGCGCCCAACTCATGGAAGAGAATCATTGGTCTTCTGGTGTTGCTGAAGGAAAAGGGTTGGGATATGCCAACTGTTGAGGAGTTAAGGAGCCTTTTCTCGTTTAGGAGATGTACTGATAGGCAAGTAGCAGATCCTTTGATTTGCTACGCTTGCGCGGGAAGGCCCCAAAGTGGTTTTAAGATTGGTGATCTGATCACAGAAATCCCGGATTCGCTGCATGGGTTCCAAGAGGAATGGCTGTGGGTCGGCGGGGAGTGGCAGACTCCGAATTTCAATAAGCCCTTGATTGACGGAATGTCGATTCCAATTAATATTAATTCTGCAGTTTGTAAGTATTGTCCTTCTTTCTAATAAACCGAGTTTGTTCTGACTTGCTTTTTATTTGTGTACTAACAGGTCATCAACTTTACTATTTGCAGCCAAAAGCAAAGGAGTTGAACTCAGTGCGACTTTGAAAGGAAGAATTTCTGAACTATTCAAGCTTAAGAAGACACAACGTGGCTTCAAGTTGATTCTGAAGGATTCAAGGTTGAAAGCTGCTGGATTGTGTCCAGAAATCTTAGACGGTTCTTTCCAGCCAGGTAAATCTGAATCGAATTTTTCAATCTTATTCAAAGTCGGTAGCTTTTGGATATTGTGATAACTCGGTTTTATAATTGCAGTATATTATCCGCTTCTCGGAGTGCTCGGTTTCAAGTCTGTTCGTGACGCTAGAGCCTTCCGACAAAGGAGTCCGAATTTGGAACTGCGAACTAAAGTCGGGAAGAGCAAAGAGCTGCGTCTGACAGGAATGGGTCGCAAGAAATTAGTGAAGGCTTACTTGGAAAACCCTATCATGAATCCACCAAAAACCGACGTCGGGGATGGTGCGACGTCGGCGGCTGCAGTTGTTGTCCCGCAGCCTAATCCTCTGGCTATTGCAGCAGCAGGTCCCATGGCTGCCATTGCTGCTGCGACTACTGCTGTTTCTGAAGCTGAGCCTAATGTTGAGGCTGTCACAGCAGTGAATCCGCCGGTGATTGATTTGGCTTCTGATGAGCCTGAGGAGGGCCACGAGGTTACCGCTGAGCGTGGAGTGCCCGTTACTCGGTCGAAAAAGAGACGTGCAGAGGATATTCCAGCTGCCGAGGAACGGAGAAAGAAGAAGCATGATGGCGGTGATCGCGAGAAGAAGAAGGAACCTATCATTGATCGATCCTTCTTGCCAATGGATGAGGAGAGGTTTCTGAACTTTAGGCAGCCTCGGGAATCGGTCGAGAAGTGGTTCTCGACTTTTGAATCGGTTGAGATTCCTGAGATATCAAGTACTGTGGAGCTGCCTGCCCATGTCATAGATGCTGCTCGGGTCCCGATGATGGTATGGGATCCGAGATCCGAAATCGGTGTATCCTCGTTGGCGAGCGCATACAAGTTCAAATACGCCAAGGCTTGCTTGGGTCGCGCGCTTGTCAGTTTAGTGATGGCCGAGGATGAATTTCGGCTTAATGCGGCCCAGGTCGATGAGAAAAAGCATACGTTGGAACTTAGAGATGGAGCACTTGCATCTCTAAGAGAAGAAGCAGCAGCTAAGGAGAAGGAGCTGCAAGTGAAGATTGATGAGCAAACCGAACAGTTGACGATTGCTCAGGGGGAGATCGAGGCTCTGAGAGTTGATAAGGCTTCCCTCGACAATGACGTTCTAAAGCTGACGAGTCAGGTTATTACTTTCGAGCAGCGCGTCAAAGTATTAGAAGAGCAGCTATCTCGGTGCGAGAGCCTTCTTCGAAAGGAGCAGGAAGCCCATGAGGTTACTCGGAAGAGTCGGTCCGAGGTTGAGGAGTTGCTGAAAAAAGACCGAGATGCTCATTTAGCTAAACTCGGCAAGCTGCAGGAGGAAAAGATTAAACTTGCCGAGGAAAAGTATAACGACGGTCTCCGAGCAGGGAGAATTCTTGAGGCAGAGGCCAACCGACTCAAGGGAAAAGCAGAGTCCGACTCCGAAGACGAGGATCGCGAATTTGAGATGAACACTTGTCTCAACCTACGCTGGATGGTTGAGCGTTTCGACGACGGTTTATATGGCATTGAGGAAGTTCGTCAGTTCCTGCTGCATAAAATTCAGAGCCA